CACATTACAGTCCTCAGATTCTTGGAGCCTCACTCGCTGTTGGTGGAACCTATTGAACGGCTATTCACCCAATCAGGATCCCAGCTCAGGGATTGGGCGTGGCTCTTGATCCTCACCCAGCTGTCTTTGTACCACCAGTCCCCCCATACGTAGAAGGCGGCGCGGAGGGGCTCGGTGAATTTGGCGGTGAAGGTGTGGAGGTGGCGGACGGGGTCACCCAGCTCGTAGAAGGAGACCTGGCCGGCCTCGTAATCCAGAAAGATCCGGAACTTATCGCTGGCGACATGGTGGGGGAGCTGGGTCATGTGACCGTCATGCCGGGCGGAATACTGCTGATACCACCTCCACAAGCACAACCTGCGCAAACACCACGAGCCGCCATTCTCCCCGAGGATGGACTGGTCTCCTCTCCGCTCCACACTGGGGTAACACACCCCAATCCCCCAACCTCCCGACCTACTGGTCTCCACATCCCAGTAATGGCGCCCCGAGGAGAAGCTCCTCCCACTTATCACCTGATACTTCTCGAATCTTTCCGGGGTGGGGGGATGGTTTTGGTCCACATGTGACCATCGCACCGTTCTTAAGGTAGGTAACACTTTGAGGTTGTTGGCGGCTGTGTTCTGGTCCAGCGTGAGGTCCGAGGGGTCCTGAGTGTAGAACAAAATATTGGCACATCTCAATAAATCTGAAAGACCCGAATGCAATGTGTCCGAGAAGGTCATGTGACCTACAGCTTCCATCTTTGTATCATCTCTGTCCTGAGAAAAGTCTCCTCTGTCGGAGTTGTGATCTTGTAAGACAATCAGGGGGTCCGCAGCGTTCACCATCTCCTCCACGTGCCGCATCTTCCTGGACAGCTCGGCGGTCTTTGTTTCCAGTTGCCGGATCATCTTGGAGACGGAGCGGGAGATCTTCTCTTCATCGCCGGAGATCTCACTCCGGACTTTCTTCTCCAGATCTTCCAGTTGCCTCCTGATGTCTCTGAACATGGCGGCGACTCTCTCCGTGGCCTCGGCCGCTCGTTCCTGCGCCTCTCTCCCGTGTTCCCGGAGACTCCGGACCTTCTCCTCGGCCTCCTCTCTCCTCGCGGTCATCGTCTCCAGAACATGGCGGAGTTTCTCCTTCTTCTTCTCAGAAGCTTCGTCCAGGGTCTCCACCTGGTGTCCTCCGTGTTCTCCATCCAGCCTGCAGGACGCACAGATGCAGGCCGCGTCCTGGGCGCAGTAATGGTCCAGGATCTCCTGGTGGACGGAACATTTCCTGTCTCTTACAGACCCGGTTGGTGGGATCAAAGCGTGTTGTACGGCCCTGTTGTGTTTCCTCAGGTGGTCGTCACACATGGCGGTCTCGCACTGCACGCAGGACTTGGCAGCAGGGACGGGAGAGTCGCAGTAGGTGCAGTAGATCCCGCTCCCCTCCGGCGCCGACAGCGTCTGGAGAAAAGCTTTGGCTATGTTAAGGAGCCTCAGGTTGGTCTTCAGTTCCGGCCTCTTCTTATAAATCTGCTTACATTCCGGGCACTTGGAGTCTCCCTTTCCCTGGTGGTCCCACGCCTGCGTGATACAGTTGCGGCAGAAGCTGTGCCCGCATGGCAGGGTCGCCGGGTCATCATAAATGTCTATGCAGACGGAGCAGCGCAGCTCGGAACTCAGATCGGCAGACGCCATTTGTAAAACCCGGCGAGGAAATAAAAGTGTTTCTATCACATCCAGACAAACCGGTTTCACCGTCTACGAGGCCCTGAGAAGACGGCACGCCCCGGGTGTGTCCAGGTATCTGATCCACCGCGACCGCGCAGCCATAAACGTTCCGTGTCAGAGGTGAAGAAACACCTACGGGGCAACCCAGGGACCAGGCTCATCTCTGAAGGAGCGCACACCATGGCACACCCCTAGCCCCACTCCCAGGGTTCAGGCAATGGCAGCCTCCGCTGTGTGACATGCGCTACAATGTAACAACGAGCTCCGATACAAAGTAACATTCCATGATCTGCAGACTCTCCCATAACCAGATTTTTTTTTTTTTTTATCGAAGCCCGTGGACGCGCATCAAAACTTCCCCCTGTGAACAAAAAAAGTGAACCGTGAAATCACAGCACACAAAAAACGCACAAGGGTGCAAGGTCCTTCCAAAGAAGGGACCTACTTTCCCGACCCCCCGGGGCGTAAGGCTCCTGACGGGTTGAGACTGGTGGTCCACCAACCCGAAGGCCGTGGACCATTTCCTATGGGGACCTGCCGAAACAGGTCCCCCTCAGTACTAGGCAAGTGGGATCTCCCGAAGAGAAACCCACCTCCTGGGTGGGAGGAGACAGAGAACCCTATATAAGGGCACAGAATCTCCTCCCAGCGTCAGGAATAGGCCCCGAAGAAACCTGCACCTTCCGCATCTGTGGGCCAAATAGTAAAATAAAAAAGTGCCAAAGTGCATAAATAATTTTTCTGCGCACCCCTGGGACGCCACCCCCAGGGGGCACAACACCACGGGCTTCTGCCGCCCCCGAACCCTCGACCAAGCTTCGCATCCGTTCAGTCAGAAAGCCATGTACTGAGCGGTTCCCCTCTCACAGGAAGCCGCCCCACTCGCTCTTTCACTCCAGCGAATACTCAGTAACCATCCCCCGCAAGGACGGTTCTTTTCCCCACCGAAAACTGATAAGAACAGATACTACACCTGATCTTAGCCAAAAGGCCGAGACTCTGCAGCATGAGATACTCTGCAGCTATCACTTCCTTCCGCAAAGTCCGGGCGGGCGGACTGACGCAGCAATGATGGGAGTCTCTCCCGCTCTCTTCCACCTTACTGCGACCATTTTTCCTGCAGCGCTGCATCTGCTAATTTGCATAAATTCTGCATGGGGTCACGTTGCAGTTAGGGCTTGTTCACACCAAGCGCGGAGCAGATCAAACCTGCGTCCAATGTATTCCAATGGTATTTTGAGCTCCAGTTCACACCGCAGCGTTCAGTTCCAGAGCAGGTTAAAAAAAACTGCAGCAGGCCCTATTTTACCTGCTCTGGAACGCAGAAAAAACGCATGTAGATGCCTGGAATGCACTGAAAGCCCATTTGAAACTTTTAAAAAAAAATAAAATGTTTTTTCTTTTTTTACCAAAAAGAGCCCTGAACGCATCAAAAAGACTAGCGTGCGTGTGCAGAAACCTGACCGGATCTGCATTTGGTGTGAACACAACCTTAGGGAGACTTTTATTTACTT